TGCGTGGCGTGCGGCGCGCGGCGCGTGGCGCGCGGCGCGTGGCGCGCACGCGCGGGGGGGGGGCGCATGCGGGCGGCCCCGCGGGGAGCTTCGGTGGAGCTCCCTATGGGGCCACGAAGCGCTGTACTAGGTGAGACAAAACACCAAATGGGGTTTCCACGACGCACACGGGCGGCCCCACTGGGGGGTCCGGTGGAGCTCCTCATAGGGCCACGAAACGCTGCACTGGGTGGGCGAACATGCCGAAGTGGGCGCGTGGGGCGCACGCGGGCGGCTGGGGCCACGAAGCGCTGCACTGGGTGGGCGAGGGCCAAATTAGGTGTGCGGGACACGCAGGCGGTCACAGCGGGGGCTTCGGTGGAGCTCCCTATGGGGCCACAATGCGCTGTACTGGGTGAGTGAAAATGCCAAATTGGGTTTCCACGACGCACGCGGGCGGCCCCACTGGGGGCTTCGGTGGATCTCCTCATGGGGCCACGAAACGCTGTGCTGGGTGGGAGAAAAAATGCCAAATTGGGTTGCCGGGGCGCATGCGGACGGTCCTACTGGGGGCTTCGGTGGGGCTCCTGATGGGGCCACGAAACGCTGTACTGGGTGACATCCTCCCGCCTTCCCTCCCCTCCCTCCCTCCCTCCCTCCCCATCCTCCCCTCCCTCCCTCCCCTCCGTCCCGCCCTCCCCACCCCCCCTCCCTCCCTCCCCTCATTATCCTGGAGGAGGGGGTGAGGGCGGGCCGCAGTCCGTCTCAAGGGGGCGTTGAGCGGTGCGGCGCGGCGGGAGGGACGCGGCGCGCAGTCCTTGGGCGCCAAGCGGTCTGGGTTCATGCCCAGGCACATCGAGCAGCCCTCGCACCCCCGCGACTCTCTCCCCCATCTCATCCTCCTCCCTCCTCCCTCCTCCCCTTTCCTCCTCCTCCTCCTCCTCCTCCTCCTCCTCCTCCTTTCCTCCTCCTCCTCCTCCCTCCCCTCATCCTCATCCTCCTCCTCCCCCTCCCCCTCCTACTCGTCCTGCTCCTCCTCCTCCTCCCTGCTCCTCCTTTTCCTCCTCCTCCTCCTCCTCCTCCTCCTCCTCCTCCTCCTCCTCCTCCTCTTCTTATCATTATTATTAGTGATAGTATTATTATTCGTTTTAACATTCGTAGTATTAGTAATACTACAATTATGAGTAGAATTATCGTTAGTAGTAGTAGCAGTTTTGCTTTTATTACTATTCATATTAGTATGAGTAGTATCATTGTTGTTAGTAATATTACTACTAGTAGTACTATTACGAGTATTAATATTACTAATACTACGATTATTGCTAGTGTTATTAACAGTACTATTGTTAGTATTATTAGTAGTAGTGTTATTATTGCTATTCTTAACAATCGTAGTATTGTTAATGTTGTTCTTAAAAGTATTATGATTCGTAGTAGTAGTAGTAGTAGTAGTAGTAGTAGTAGTAGTAGTAGTAGTAGTAGTAGTAGTAGTCACACTAGTAGTAGTAGTAGTAGTAGTAGTAGTAGTAGTAGTAGTAGTAATATGTTTAGTAGTATTAGTATTATGACTAGTATTATCAGTATATGTTAGTACGATTAGCATTGGTAGTGATGTGCCTATTCTTCTTATTATGATTCGCAAGGTTATTCGTAGTAAAAGTATTACTGGTAATAACATTATTATTATTATTCATATTATGACTGCTAGTATTACTAGTTTTATTACTAGTATTATGATTCGAACTCGTAGTAGTAATCGTCGTAGTCGTATTAGTAGTATCGGCATTAGTATTGCTAGTATTATTAGTGTTATTCGTTTTACTATTCTTCTCAACATTATTATGCATAGTCTTCTGATTCTTATCATTAACATCATTATTGTTATTGTTCGTACCAGTAATATTATTACTAGTATTAGTAGTATTCGCATTGCTATTCTTATTATGATTAATCCTCCTCCTCCCTCCTCCTCCCTCCTCTCTCCTCCTCCTCCCTCCTCTTCCCTCCTCCTCATCCTCCTCCTCCTCCTCCTCCTCCTCCTCCGCCTCCTCCTCCTCCTCTCCTCCTCCTCCTCTTTATCCTCCTCCTCCTCCTCCTCCTCCTCCTCCCCTCCTCCTCCTCCTCCTCCTCCTCCTCCTCCTCCTCCTCCTCCTCCTCCTCCTCCTCCTCCTCCTCCTCTCCTCCTCCTCCTCCTCCTCCTCCTCCTCCTCCTCCTCCTCCTCCTCCTCCTCCTCCTCCTCCTCTCCTCCTCCTCCTCCTCCTCCTCCTCCTCCTCCTCCTCCTCCTCCTCCTCCTCCTCCTCCTCCTCCTCCTCCTCCTCCTCCTCCTCCTCCTCCTCCTCCTCCTCCTCCTCCTCCTCCTCCTCCTCCTCCTCCTCCTCCTCCTCCTCCTCCCTCCTCCTCCTCCTCCTCCTCCTCCTCCTCCTCCTCCTCCTCCTCCTCCTCCTCCTCCTCCTCCTCCTCCTCGTCCTCCTCGTCCTCCCGCGGACCTCGCGGACCGCAGGTGCACATGGTCAAGCTGGGTTCAGCCGACGCGCCACTATCAAAAAGGCAGGGACCCCAAGTGCGGGATCACCAAAAATTGACCGCAGACGGGGGCACTCACGACGAGACCACCCGAGGAGGCCAGAAGACAGCAGGACCCAGGACAAATGTAGTTGAACGGTGGCAATACGGATGGGGTATTTGTTTGACGCGAGGGTACCACAAGGGGTCGTGCCGCGGCGACGCGGACTGAAATATACGAGCCAAACCCAAACGCCAGCGGGTTTACAGAAACCCGGGGTTCTATACCGAAACCCCCCTCGACCTGATAGCACAGGTCGGGTCGGTTACGCGTGCAATGTCAGATAAGTTTGCACATCACCAGTGAAAGCTGGAGCTGGCTCAACAGCACAAAAGCGGTGACGTCCTGATGCGAGCTGACAAGGCGATTTGTACACAGCATGGTTAACACTGCTCTGAACTAAATCGCAAGCATGGTGCACACAATTCGGCGGCATAAAAGGTGACTTACAATACGGCGAGACCTCCGCTCTATTTATCCGCCACCGTGCTTTCAGCACGTAGTGGAGTGCTCCAAGGCTATACTGCCCTGAAACATAAGAAGTTTCAAAGTTCTCAGGGCCCTGACCACTGGTTTCACAAGGACCCCCGGGGATTCCCAGAGATTCCCGTTGATTCCGTGGGACTCGCGGGGATTGCCAGGGATTCCCTGGGATTCCGCGGGGTAGCGCACCTGGCCCAAAAGGGCTCCAAGGTGGTCCAAGAGGGCCCCGAATCGTCGCGCGATCGCTCAAACAAGACGTCCAAGATGGTCTCCAGTCGGCCGAAAAACTGGCCAAGACGTCCCAAGGCGACTCCGAGAGGCCAAAATCGCTGCTGCTTCTTCAAAAAAAAAATGAATGGAACCATGAAAAACAAAAACATGGTTTGGGATAGTTGGGGGGCCCTCGACTTTTCGAGCTCCCAACGCTCCACGACGGCCCGAGAGGCCCCCGGGACCACCCCAAGGCGGCCCAGAGGCCCCCCAAGAGGGCCCCCAGACGGCGGAAAAGGCTCCAAGATGACCCAAGAGGCGCCCAGTACGGCCCAAGAGGGCCAAAAAACAGCCCCAGGAAGGGCCCAAGAGAGGGAAAACGAACGGAAAAGCCGAGTCTTCCGCCCCAAAGCCCCCTGGATGCCCCAAGGAGGCGCCAAGAGGACCTCAGGAGACCCCAGGACCCCCAAGAGGCCCTCAAGACGCCCCAAGAGGCCCCAAAACGGCCCCCAAGAGGCCTCCAAACGGCCCCCAAGAGGCCCTCTAAAGGCCCCACGCGACATCGCAACGAACATATTGCAGGCCCATGACCCACAACCCAAGCACGGTGGCGGGATGGGCCGAAGGCCATCCGCCGCCCCTTGTCGATTCATCGCAGGGGTGCCTGGAGTGCCAGAGCCTATCGGTTTTGGTTTTGGTTCTTTTTCCAAAAGAACTCCCCCTGGCACTTCGGCCCGTCCCGCCGGGGTACCGGGAGGCTCTTCCAGGACCGCAACCTCCACGAAAAGTCCTCCCTGAAACGGCCGTTCCGCTCGGGACATCCTCAAAAAATTGCGAAGATGGCCCAAGATGGCCTCCAAGTCCGCCCAAGATGGTCCAAGACGGCCTCCAAGACGGCACAAGAGAGTCCAAGACGGCCCAAGACGGCCCAAGAGGCCCCCCAGAGGCTTCCCAGACGGCCCAAAAGTCCTCCAAGAGGTCTCCAAGAGGTCCTCCAGGAGGGCCCGAAGAGGCCAAAATCATTGATTTTCCTGAGATTTTTGAAGGATTTTGAAATTTGCTTCTTCTCGGCATTCCGACGGCTCAAGACAGCCCAAGAGGCCCCCAAGATCGCCCAAGAGGCCCCCAAGAGGGCCCCATGACGGCCCAAGTGGCCTCCAAGATGGCCCCAAGAGGGCCCCAAGACGGCCCAAGAGGCCTCCAACACGCCCAAGATGGCCTCCAAGACGCCCAAGATGGCCTCCAAGACGGCCCCGAAGCGCCCCAAGAGGGTCCCCCGTTGGCCCAGAAAGGCCCCCAAGACGGCTCCCGACGGCGTCAGACGTGCCAGGAACCCACCAAGATGGCCGAAGTTGGCTCGAAGCTGGCCCAAGACGGCCCAAGAGGCCCCCAAGAGGGCCTCCAGGAAAGCCAGAAGAGGCCAAAAAAAATTATGTTCCTAAGGTTGTTGACGGATTTTGACATTTCCTTCTTGTCGGCCTTCCGACGGCCTGAGAGGGCCCAAGAGCCCCAAAAGATCGCCGAAAGATCGCCCAAGAGGCCTCCAGGGCGGCCAAGATGACCTTCAAGATGCCCACGTGTTCCCCGAAGGCTTTCCAAACCGATTCGGGGAACACATGGTCCGATGGCTTGGCAGGTCTGGCCTCAACGTTCGGCCACATAGGCGCTTCCAAAAAGGCAGAGGGCGGCGGTGATTCGCCGTAGGCGTTTTCGATTAGATGTTCGCCGTAATCGCCCAAAGATCACATGCACTCGAAACTGTCCTAGTTGTTCACGCGACAAACCTTGGAGTAGAAGAAGGCAAAGCACCACTCACCTGGGGCGTCTGGGGTGTTCTGAGCTCGCCCTAAGGCGCTTGCAAATGCCTTTACCGTGATCCACGCGGGCTTCCTGTCCTGCATGCGCTGGTGGTCGACATCACCCATGAAGCGGTCATCCTTGCAAGGGACCTCCTACACGTCACTGCCAGCCCAAGCACCAGGGACAACTCGCGGTTACTCCTGGGCATTTTGGCCACCAACTGGTCATGGATACCATGGAAACACCCTACGGTCTGCCAGTAGGTGCAGCCTGGGAACCAAAAGTTAGGCGACGCCCACTGAAGGTCACGACCCTCCAGCCGATGGTTGCACACTACTCCTGGGCATGAGTTAACTGCCCTGGCCTATGCGATGGCCCACATTAAACAATCCGACGAAGGGACCTGCGCTTGCCGCAGAATCCCATTCGCAAGCCCCGTTCAAGGAAAACGGGCGAACCCAGCCGTCGCCTGGTCGGTCACGCAAAGGCCCGAGCTTCTCGCGGTCACATCTACAATGATAGGATTGCGCGATACGAGGCTTGGGCTGGTACGCCAAACAGCTCATTAGCGCGCCCGTTTGGCTTCCTGGTGGTGGTGTCAAAATTATTGCAGTAGATCTCCAGGCCGACACCGATCGCCACAAATTGCCGCGCCGACTCCTTGGTCGCGAATATCACAGCGATGATGTCGGTCATGATGCCCCCGTGACCGTTCCGATTGATCATGTCGCTGCACATGATATTAGTGGCAAGGGTCGTGGCATCATGTCGCTCATCATCATCATCATCAGCAGCAGCATCATCATAGTCATCATCAGCATCATCATCATCATACTCATGATCATCAGCATCAACATCATCAACATCATCATCACCATCATCAGCATCAGCATCAGCATCAGCATCAGCATCATCCTCATCATCATCATCAGAATCGTCATCGTCATCATCATCATCGTAATCGGAATCATCATCACCAGCATCATCAGCATCATCACCATCATCGTCCTCATCAGCATCATCATCATCATCGTCATCGTCATCGTCATCGTCAACATAATCATCACCATCAGCATCATCATCACCGTCATCCTTATCATCGTCAGCAGCATCATCAGTATAGTCATCATCTTCACACTCCTCATCAGCAGCATCACCATAATCATATACATCATCATTATCATCATCATCCGCATCATCATCAGCCTCATCAGCAGCATCATCATCATCATCATCATCATCATCGTCGTCGTCGTCGTCATCCGAATCAGCATCATCAACATCAACAGCATCATCATAATCATCACCATCAGCATCATCATCACCAACAGCATAATTCTCAGCAGCAGCAGCTTCATCATCAGCATCATCACCACCCTCATCAGCATCATCATCGCCATCAACATCATCATCATCATCATCATCATCACCATCAGTTTCATCAGTATGATCGTCGTCATCATCATCAGCATCATCATCAGCTTCATCAGCATCATGATCATCATCGTCGTCATGATCAGCACAATCATCAGCATCAGCGTCAACATAATTGTCAGCATCAGCATCATCATCGCCATCAGCATCATCACGATCATCGTCATCAGCAGATCATCAGCATCAGAATCAGCACCACCATCATCGTCATCGGCATCATCATCTTTATTCCTACGCAACCGGCGTGGGCAAGAAACCTGACAGGAAGGAAAGCAGGGGAAGGAGACGATATCATCGATCCTCCGTACCCTTCTGCTCAAGGTACCAACAGGTGAGGCGGCGAAGGATCCTGAAAAGGAGTGAGCGGTCAGACAAATCGCAGCCTGAACAGTCTCGGCCACCATGCCTTCCTCCCTTCCCTCTTCCTCCCACTGCAAGACTCATACGATCATCCTCCTCATCCATCCTCCCTCCTCCCTCCTCCCTTCTCCTCGTCCTCCTCCTCATCCTCACGCTCCTCCTTATGATTATCATCAGCATCATCATCACCATCATCATCGGCAGCAGCCTCATCACCACCACCACGACCACCATCATCATCAAATCAAAATCATCATCCGCATCATCTTCATCATCAGCATCATCATCAACAGCATCAACAGCATCATAATCATTATCGACATCCTCATCACCATCATCGTCATCATCAAAATCAGCAGCAGCATCATCAGCAGACTCATCAGCAGACTCACCATCATAATCACATCATAATCAACATCAGCATCATCATGAGCATCATCAGCATAATCGTCATCAGAAGCATTACCATCATGATAATCACACTCATCAACAGCATCATCAGAATCATATACCTCATCATCCTCATCCGCATCATCATCATTATCAGCATGATCGTTCGTATCATCATCAGCATCATCATTAGCAGTATCATCAGCATCATCGTCATCATCATTATCCCCAGCATCGTCATCATAGGATTGTTCCCCATCGGTCTCATCCTCCTTCTTCTCCTCCTCCTCGTCCTTATGTTCCTTACCCTCCTCATCTTCCTCCTCCTGGCCCCCCTCCTCCTTCTCTTCAGCATCATCATCATAATCAGCATCATAGTCCTCATCGGAATCAGCATCAGAATCATCATCATCAGCAGCATCACCAACATCAGCATCATGATCATCTTTACCAGTGGGATCAGTATCCTGCTCCTTCTTCTCGTGCTCCCTCTCCAATTCCTCCTCCTAATCATCCTCTTCCTCCTCCTCCTGCTCCTCCTCCTCCTGCGTCTCTTCCTCCTCCTCCTCCTCCTCCTCCTACTCTTAATCCTACACCCTCCTCGATGGTCATCAGTGCTCCGAGCGGCTTCACGTCTTCCACTTCTTGTTCCTCCTCCTCCTCCTCCACCTCCTGCTCCTCCTGCTCATCCGCCTCTTTCTCCTGCTCCCTCCTCCCATCCTCCTCCTCCTCCTCCTCATCCTCCTCCTCCTGCTCCTCCTCCTCCTCCTCTTCTTCCTCATCCTCTGCCTCCTCCGCCTCATCCTCCTCGTCCGACTCCTCAGCCTCCTCTTCCTCCTCTTCCGCCTCCTCTTCTTCTCATGATTACCAATATTGCTATTAGTCTCAGTTGTCTGCGTATCGTTTCTTGTTAGTATAAGTCTTCGTCGTAATGGTATGATTATTATTGTTTATGTTCTTGCTAGTTTGAACGATTGGTATTAAGATCACTAGCATGAGTATCATTATCATTGAGTCGTATTATTGTTATAGATTGTCTTGTTCGTAGCATTATTCCTCCTCCTCCTCCTCCTCATCATCATCATCGCCATCATCAGCATCGACATCATTATCAGCATCATATGCCATCATCACCGTCATGAGCACCATCAGCATCAGCAGCAGCATCACCATCATCATCACCAACATCAGCAGCATCATCATCAGCATCATCAGCATTACATCATCATCATCAACATCATCATCATCAGCATCATCATCAGCATCATCATCATCATCATCATCAACAGCGTCAGCATCGTCATCATCATCATCATCAGCAGCAACAGCAACGGCATCGTCGTCATCAGCAGCGGCATCGTCATCATCATTGTCGTCATCATCAGCATCATCAGCAGCAGCATCAGCATCAGCATCATCAGCATCATCATCATCGGCGTCAGCATCAGCAGCAGCAGCATCATCATCAGCATCATCAGGTTCATCATCATGATCATCATCAGCATCATCATGATCACCATCAGCATCATCTCCATCATCATCATCATCATCAGCATCATCATCAACGTTATCATCCTAATCAGCATCATCACTATCAGCAGCATCAGCATCAGCATCATGAGCATCAACATCAGCATCAGCATCATCATCATCATCGGCACCAGCCGCAACCTCATTATCATCAGCAGCACCATCATCAGCATCAGCATCATCATCACCACCACCATCATCAGCAGCATCATCATCAGCAGCAGCATCATCATCATAATCATCAGCAGCATCATCAGCCTCATCATCAGCATCATCAGAAGAATCAGAATCGTCCTCATCAGCATCATCATCATCAGCAGCATCATCATCAGCATCACCATCAGCATCATCATCAGCATCATCAGCATCACCATCATCACCATCATCATCAGCAGCAGCATCCCCATCATCATCATCATCATCATCATCATCATCATCATCATCATCAGCAGCAGCAGCAGCAGCAGCATCATGGGCACCAACATCAACAACATCCTAATATTGTTCCTCCTCGACCTCCTCCTCCTCCTACTTCCCCTCCTCCTCCTCCTCCTCCTCCTCCTCCTCCTCCTCCTCTTCTCTCCTTAGCCTCCTCGCCGTCCACCCCTGCGCGGCGACGACCCACGGTCTGCCCAGTCCCGTCCGGCTCGCGCCAGTCGAAGCCCGCCTCGATGAACACCTTGTCGAGGCCCTCCTCCTCGGCCTGCGGCACGGGATGCGAGGAAAGGGGGGGGTTAGGGAGGGATCAAGGGAGGGAGGGAGGGGACTAGGAGGAGAGGGATCGAGGAAAGAGAGGGCGAGGGATCGAGCGAGGAGAGGAAGCGAGGAGATGGAGAAGAGGGATCCAGGGAGAGAGGGAGGGGCTGAGAAGTCTGGGGGGGAGACGTAGAAGAGAAGGGCAAGGGCGGAGGAGGGAGAGGGGAGGGAGGGAGCGGCGGAGGAGACGGGAGGCAGATGGGAGGGGGAGAGCGAGGGAGGGAGGGACTGACAGGTCGTGGGGTAGATTTTGAGAGGGAGGAGAAACATGAAGAGGAGGAGGAGGAAGAGGAGGAGGATGAGAAGGCGAGACGGAGAAGGGAAGTGGTGGAAGAGGAGGAGAAAGGCGAAATATACACGGACACCCGGAAGGTCATGTTTATGCAACTGTTCTTCTCCGACTTAAGCAATGATCGTCCTAGAATCACCACAACTACCCGTGATGATCCGTGCCGGGGCGGGATATGGGGGAGGAGGCAGTCGAGAGAGGCTG